CTCAGCAGGCAGCCTGCTTCCTCCTCTGCCTGCTTCTCAGCCTACTTGTGATCTCTGTCGGTCAAATAAATAAATAAAATCTTAAAAAAAAAAAAAAAGAATATTTGTTCTCTGGGATTGTGAATTGCCACTATGTATCTAACTCGGGTTTGTTTTCATTGACTGGTCTGAGTGTTGCAGAAATGATTTTGCGTGCTTTGGCTGCCCTTGAAGCAAAAGGAAGGCCCTGTCTTCTGCACACTTTGGCGACTCCACCTGAAAGCCCTCCTCAGGCATTGAAAACGCTGTAGTCTAACTCTCGGTCTTGGAAACACGTTGCCGTTCACGGTTTTATCTAATGCCTTCACTTTGTGCTAGTTACCTACAAAAAGTCCAGTTATACTACTCTTTATTTTCTGTTGACGGCTTCTTGACTGTTTCCATTGGAGAACCGGTCAAGTCAAAGAGTGAATTGCTGCAGTGCGTGTCCCCTGGGCATGCGAGAAAGAATGAGTAAACAGGACATTTTTTTGAAGTCTCATATTTTGTCTTGAAAAATATGACTTACTGCATTTGACTTCATGATCTATCCATTTATTTTAATGTAAAAGTGATATTCTCTCATCCAAAAAGAAAACAATCTTTGAACAAAGCTGTTTCAAGGGGCGCCTGTCTTCGGCTCACATTAGGATCCCAGGGTCCTGGGATGGAGTACAGCCTGTGGGTCCCTGCTCAGTGGGGAGTCTGCTTCTTCTGCCTGCCGGCTCCCCTTGCTTGTGCATGCTCGCATGTGGTGTCTTTCTCTGAGAAATAATGTTTTTTTTTAATATTTTCTGTGTTCTTTTGTCTCTGGAAAGCCCCTGGGGCTCTGCCTCTTTACCTCCAAAGAAATCTCAACTACTGTTTGATAAGAATTAGTACTCATTCAGTACATTTTTTTGAAATTAATTTTAGCACTGTAACAGGATAATTAACTATATTCAGCATCTATTACCAGATTGTCACACTTTAACCTGCTTGTCACATTTTAAAGAATACTATGGCTAGAAAAAGTCTTCTGCTCCAACTAGGAATCTTTTAGAATACAGCTGATTCTAGAATGAAAGTCATAGTGTAAAAAACATAATTCAAAGTGCTGTACTTTTTCTTTTTTTATTTTAAAGATATTTTTTATTTATTTGACAGAGAGCGATAGAGGGGGGTCACAAGTAGGCAGAGAGGCAGGCAGAGAGAGGGGAGGAAGCAGGCTCCCTGCCAAGCAGAGAGCCCGACGCAGGGCTCGATCCCAGGACCCTGGGATCATGACCTGAGCCGAAGGCAGAGGCTTTAACCCACTGAGCCACCCAGGTGCCCCTTTTTCTATTTTTTTAACTGTTAGAAATTACTGGAACCAGGTACAGAGCTCGGAAGACCTTAAAGAGCATTTATCCAGGTGATCCCCTCCTAAGGGAGTTTATGGATAAGTTTTGGAGGCTTTGAATCCCCTGAAATTATATGCAAAATTGTGTATGTATCTTTTTGGAGGAGAGCACTGATAAAAGTTCATTACATTTTCAGAAGGATTCATCCCTCTACAGTTAAAATGCACTTATCCAGTATGAGGTTATAAATGTGAAATTAGTCTAGAAAAGTAACTTTCAGAACCACACAGCTAAGTAACAGGCCTAGTGCTGCTGCTTTATATATATTTTTTTAAAGATTTAATTTTTTTTTTTAAAGATTTATTTATTTGACAGAGAGAGAGAGAGGGAGATCACAAGCAGGCAGAGAGGCAGGGGGAAGCAGGCTCTCTGCCGAGCAGAGAGCCTGAGGTGGGGCTCAATCCCACGACTCTGGGATCATGACCTGAGCCGAAGGCAGAGGCTTAACCTACTGAGCCATCCAGGCGCCCCTAAAGATTTAATTTTTTGACAGAGGCACAGTGAGAGAGGGAACACAAGCGGTGGGGGAGGGGGGAGGCGAGGGAGAAGCAGGCTTCCTGTGGAGCAGGGAGCCCGATGCAGGGCTTGATTATGACCTAAACCAGAGGCAGCCACTTAATGACTGAGCCACCCAGGTGTCCCAGCTTTTTACATTTCCTTGGGCTCAAACTTTCTCTTTAACAAAGAAGAAAAAAGCAGTTTTTCACTGTCTAAAGAGAAACAATACAGAATTACATACTTGTTTGACTGTATTCAAACTGAGCACACTTCCTGCAAATGTCCTGTTCTCTTTCCAAACGCAGGATGCAAAAAGCCATTTAATCTCATTCTTGGGAAAACTACAGTTGCCAAGAAACAACCAACTGTTAAGAGTTTGTTAACTCTAAAGCACAACAGGATTTTTTTTTTGTTTTGCTTTTAAATTATTGATTGAAAAGCTTTCTACACTTGAGCCACGCATTGATTTATTCATTTATTCAACAAATATTTATTGAGAGCCTGGCTTTATTTGGTTGGCTAAAGGAAAAACAGCCAGTTTGTTTTGGGGGAGGGTGCGGGCAGCGGTTGGTAAGGCGGATATACTGGGCTAAAAGCTGGGTATAGCAGGGAAAAATCAGCTTTGTTAGAAAGATGAGAGTCTGATATTCCTGCTCAATTACCCTCCTTTCTCCCTGTGGCAGGCAGCAAGTGTCAACGTGTAGGACGACAGAGGTGCTTGATCTTGCCGGAGGATTTTGGTCTCCTTTGCACATACGCTAAGGGAAGCTGAGTGCGGGTTATCTCCCCTGGACACTGGCCAAATGGTCTGCCCTGGGATAAATTTGCTTCACCTGCTTCATGGGAATAATGCAGGTGAAATATGAGAAGTCATCATTTGGGGCTTTTTTTTTTTTCTTTTTAAAGATTTATTTGTCAGAGAGAGAGCGAGCGAGCACAGGCAGACAGAGTGGCAGGCAGAGGCATAGGGAGAAGCAGGCTCCCCACAGAACAAGGAGCCTGATGTGGGACTCGATCCCAGGACGCTGGGATCATGACCTGAGCCGAAGGCAGCTGCTTAACCAACTGAGCCACCCAGGCGTCCCTCATTTGGGGCTTTTAAGAGAAGAAAACAATATGAATCCTTCCTTGTCACTGCCATCAACAAAGCCCCTGAATGTTCCATCTTCTCTGGAACTCCGCTCAGGGTCCTCTGTACCCAGCTCCCGTCATCATGCTGAGTGATTTCAACATGCAACACTGACCTCCCTTCCTCAGCCTCCTTACCACCTTCTTACCAATGTCTAGCTTCTCCTTTCCTTTCTATAGGAAAGGAGAAGCTAGACATAGCTCTACTACAGCTTCATCTCTCACCCATTCGGAGCAAAAATTCTGATTTTCCTTTTATGAAATACAGCCCTAAAATAAGAGAAGGAACAGAAAACTCATTAGTTTTACAAAAAGAATCCTTAACTGGTATGTTTTATTTGATGGCCAAGCTGCTATAGGAGTTAGGAACTGTGTTTAACTACATATAGCAACCTAAACAGCTGTGGCTTCAATAAGACATTGATCTCTTGAGTAGGAGAAATCTGAGGTAGTGCTGGTACCAAGAGCCCACAGTCATCAGGGACCCAGACCTATTTTCTCTTTCAGATCCTATATTCTTGTGGATGACTTCCTACATGATGTTACCTCATAGGCCAAAATACTTGCAGAGTTTGGGTTCCAGCCATCGTATCTACGATCTCAGCACTCTGCCTGGGGAAAGGGCCGAGAACAAGAGGTCTCCTTCCAGCTAGACAAACCCCCACACAGCTTTCCTCAATCCCCTTATCATCATTCTATTTACATCTTACTAGCTAGACTTTGGCCAGTCAGCGCCCGGGCAGTTACCTGTGCAGGGAGAGCTAGGAAATGACTTCTAGTGAAGCCTACCTCTGTGTCCAAATAAAGTCAGGGCTCTGTTATTAAGGAAGAAAAACTTGAATAGTGAGTGGCCCTAGCAATGTGGCCCCCAGCTATCCATCAATACCATCTCCCAGGCAACATGGGGAGATCTAGAGACACACCCCGGCTTTGTGTAAGGAGGGGTTCAGTAAATAACGGGTGAATGAATGATTTGAATTCATGATGATGATTTTTACATTCTGGGTGAATATAGACTACCTCAAGCACTTATTAATAAGCTGCTGGGAAATGACCAGACCCGAAGTCCCTCTATGTGTACTCAAAAGTTATCTTCTTAACATTTTGATGCTTCGTATAGGCTTGCTACTTAGAAAAGCAGAATCTGACTGAGGTCTAATCCACGTCTACTAAATTGGGACCTACACTGTAAACACGCCGAAGTAATTCCTACAGCACACTGAAATTTGGGAAGGCATACTTTACTGTGTTTCGTTTTTGTTTTTGTTTTTGTTTTTACTTTACTGTGTTTTTAAAAATAATGCTGAACTACAGAAATATTCTTTAAAATGTTTTTCTTGTACCGGCTTTAAGGGGGTGGGTATGACACGTGTGTGTGTGTGTGTGTGTGTGTGTGTGTGTGTGTGTGTTTTCCTAATACACATTCTTTCCACCGGCTGGTCAGCGTAATGATTTCAACCTGTATGGGCTATAAAAAAAAAAAAAAGTCCACTAATTGCTGGTTCAAATAGTTAGCAGATAGCAGAGCCGAGGAAGGAAACATCAATTTGTGGTTTTTGTCTTAAGGTTTTAGTTATTACAAATGACTAATTATTGTAGGGAGTGGGATGGAAACTTCAGTTGGTCCCTCAAACACACCCTCCTCTCTGTCCCCACTGCCTTCTGGCTGCCTTCCCGGGAGCCAGCAGTTGGAAGAGGGGGGCTAGCAGGATGAAAGCCAGCTCCTTACTTTGTAGAAGTCCCTACCAGGTGACCCCTATGGACGCCTGCCCCAGCCACACCTTAACCCCATTGTAGTGAAAATCAAGCCATTCAATTGCCTAGCAGGAATTGTCACTAAGTGTGATTACTGTTCTCAGGTATCTGTGAGAGGTATTTGCAGGCAGAAGAGGGGTTAGTCCCCTGACCTGGAATTACTGACGCAGGAATAAAAACTGTGGAGACCTGGTCTCATTTTGTCAAGTTTCTAGATAAATGGCGGGACAGGAGAGTTTTGCAGGTTTTGGCATAGCTCAGCAAAATCATTATTACTGGTACTGGCAAAGGTAAGCTGTTTTGTCCCTACTCTGAATAATGAAAATGAAGGCCATCCGTGCTCGATTTCTTACATGATGTTTGGCAATTTACAAACTATCGCTTTGGAAATAGGTGTTCCTAAACAATTAATGCAGAGATCATCCTTACTCTTACCCCTTAGTCCCTGGGAAAGAAGAAAGAGACCTGAGGTTCTGAATGAGTCTGCCTCGGTTGGTGATGTCATTCCTGTTGTCTCTCCTCCACTATTAGGGGGAAGCCAGTGCTCCAGCCCTGCCAGGCTTACCACTCCGGCAACTGGTTTGAGCAACAGCACAGCGGTTACTCCCTTTCTGTCTATAGCTGTGGCTGTGCAGCACAAGGAAATGGACTTGACCTTTCTGTGCAGGAGACCTCTGGACCCCCAGCTGGAACTCTGGTCACGCCTAAGGTATCCCTCCCTGAAATGATTCCTAGATCATCCACGTGCCCAACCTAGAAGCATCTTTTTCCTAACTTCACACCCCTAGATGCTCTTATTCTAATTCCCACAGCCATGGTTTTTGCTCCCCATTTTAATACCAGAGAGTAAAAGCGGATGACTAGAGAAATTTGCAATTTAAGTCATGACTATCTTCCCAAAACAAAAATCCTAGGCTGGTGACGTGTGTGCCCAAATTCTTACTACTAAATTTTAGATTATCATTCAGTTTTACTCAAAATAGGAGTGGAGGTAGTTTTGTTTTGCAATAGCAGAAAACATTAACATGCTTTTCAAAGATATTCTGATATTTTGGTTACTAAAGTAAGCAATTTCTAAAATCGCACAGGAGTACTGGAGTAAGGAAGGGAAAACTGCCCTCAGCCTTCTCCCCATCCTTTCCCTCTTCCCCATCTCCTGCCCACTTAGAAGAAAGTCTTGTTCAAGTGTATCTGTGTTCTCTACATTTTTCTCTTCTATTCTTCTTAAATCAGCACAATTGGGCTTTATTTTTGTTTAGGGAGATGGGGGAGACTTGAGCAAGAACAGGCTGAGTAGTACATACTGGTTTACTCTTTGCTTGCTTCTGCTTATAGGTTGCCTTAGGAGGGGTCCCCTCCCCACCCCCCAAAGATGGCCTTTTTAATAAAGAGCTTTCTTTAAAAGTTGCCCATTTGGATGTGCTGTGATATTAGCTCATCCCTTATTGACTAACACTTTGAATGTTCTCAGTGCTTTAACAAACTTCCACCTATCTCTGAGTATTTGAATGTTTTTTGGTTAAGAATAAATTTCTAGAGGGGTGCCTGGGTGGTTCAGTTGGTTAAGGGTCCCAACTCTTGATTTGGGCTCAGGTCATGATCTCAGGGTTGTGAGACCAAGTCCCGCATTGGGCTCTGGGCTCAGAGAGGAGTCTGCTTGAGGTTGTCTCTCTCTCTCCCCTCCCCCTACTTGTACACTTGTGCGTGGGCTCGCTCTCGCTCTCTCTCTCTCTCTCCCTCCCTCTCTCTCCCGAATAGATCTTTAAAAAATTCTGGAAGTGGAAGGTCTGGATCAAAGATAGAACATTTAGAATTTCAGACAGCAAATTACACACAAAAGGCTTTCCTAAGTTTACACTTTTCATGGCTGCTGTGGGTATGCATGCCTCTCTACGTTTCTGTGTGTGATTAACCAGTGTGACAGGTGCGGAAGCCGTTTGCCTATTATTGAGAGCAAAGACCTTTTAAACTGGTTTCTTGGTATCTGTGTTCGGTGACCTCCTCGATGTCTTTTGTGCACCTTTTTTTCCCCATTGGTGGTGCCCCCCCTTTTTTTTTTTAAGATTTTTATTTATTTGACAGAGAGATCACAAATAGGCAGAGAGAGAGGAGAAAGCAGACTCCCCGCCAAGCAGAGAGCCTGATGCAGGGCTCGATCCCAGGACCCTGAGATCATGACCAAGCTGAAGGCTGAGGCTTAACTTACTGAGCCACCCAGGTGCGCCCCCTTTCTTCTCACTTTGTAGATACTTAGATATTATGGAAATTAGCACATAGCAGTTGAGGTGTTAGCTTTGTCTCCAATCTGTTGGTAATGTCCTCCTTGTAGCATGGCCTGTGCCTTAAACCCAGAGTTAAATTTAATAGTTAAGCCCTCGGTTTTTAACCCTAACATTTGTTTGTGGTTTGTTTTCTTCCAAACTTTTCATTTTCAGTTTTTCAAGTCTGTTTTAGATGTGCCTTCTTCTGTAGAAAATACCTTGTTAGATTTCTTGGCTTTTTTCTTTTTAAACCCAAATCAGGTTTTACCCTGTTAGCAGACGTTTGCTATTGCATCACTTACAAAACAAAACAAAACTTGCTACATTGCCTGAGGTTTTAGCACGTTTTTTTTTCTTTCCACCCCTTCAGTTCTTTTGACCTTTTGGAAAATGGTCTATGTGTCTTCTGGTGGTTAACTTTATCTTAAATAGAAAAGTGTAGGTTTGAGCAGATCAGCAACTTCGGAAACAAAAGTATTTCCTGATTTCTGTGAACTCTGAGAAAATGAAGAAATTAACACCAGACAGATAAATAAAAGACAGTGAGACACAGCAACAACAACAATGAAAGAACAAAGAAACATAAGTAACATTTTAAAAAGAAATTAACTCCTCTTTTTCTCTTCTTGTCCACCCTGCCCCCCACTTTCTTCTCTCCATTTTTGTTGATACCTTCTGGGATTTTCAGCCCACTCTCCATGCAAATTACTACTATGACATGCAATTTCAAGAATTATAAATATATTCTCTTTGGTGGCTGTGGTGAGCACCCTTGTGCCACCCGCCTGCTTTCCTGGGCGGGTTTTGGTTAGGAGCAGATCGTCAGGATTCCAGGTGGTAAAGCTGTGTGCGGTGGGTCTCTTTCAATCACATGCCCTTGCTTTAGTCTTGCCTAAGGAAGCGTGACCTCTGCCAGATGTCACAGTTTATTGCCTATTTCCCCTACTATATAGCACACCTGTGTTCTTAGCTCTTCTTTCTCCAAGAGCTCAGCCTCCCAAGAGCCCCCTGCCTTTTGACAGTGTGTCTTAAGATCAGAGGAAGTGGATGTCTTCAAAATGATTCTCAGGTCTTTGGGCTCCATCAGTGCTTCTGTCCCAAACTATCGCTAGCAGAAGAAGAAGGTTACTAGAGGTGCCCTTCTTCAAGGACACCGGGCAGTGCCCAGGTGCCCCTCACACAGAGAAACTGTCTCTAGAGAGCATCTGTTCCCCGCACCCTGGTAGTGTAGGATCCAGATTTACCAGAACATGTATTGAAAAAGAGGAAATGTGAAGTTATTTGGAAATACTGTATCCTAAGAAAGGCCTCATTCAAGCACAGATTCTGGCTGTCTTTGCCCTCTCTAAATAGGAAAAATATGCCAATGGTGAGATGAAACTTAGGGTAACCGTATAATTTATTTTCCAAACCGGGATCTATTTCTGAGGGGAAGGGAGGCATACTTTCGGATAGATTGAAAAGAAGAGCTAGGTGTTCTTTGGCTTTCAATATAATCTCATCCATCTTAGCAAGGGAGGCTTAATTGAGTTCTTCAGTGCCAGGAGCTACCAGGGCTCTTACTGGGTGGGCTGGTTCCTTGGAACAGCTGTACATCCTTGACAAAGACAGTTCTCAACAGGTGACTGTGGAGAGGAAGCATAAAAACTTAACTGTCCCAGGAGGGCCAGTAGGATCTGGGTTAACCAACCAAGATTCATCTGGGGAGTGCTTCTGGAATTTACTTCTCTGACTGACTGGTTTGCTTTTCTATGGTCTCTTTATCTGCTTAAGCATGTACCATCCTGGTCCTTAGCTGAGCTGTGGGCTTGGGGTGTGATTAGAAGGCTACAAGGAGAATATGCTCATGAAGATTGTGTAGATTGTCACCTGGAAGGAAGGGCAGAGCCCCCGGGAGAGAGTTGGGCATTTAGTGCAGGGACTGTGGAGTCTGGATGCCTGGGTCCCTGGTGTCCAGTTCATGTGCGGCCCTGGAAGACCAGTTAGTTCCCAGAAGCTTCAGAGATCCCTGATGTCTTTGTCAGGCATGCTCCTCCTTGATGATTTTTTTCTTCCTTTGACTTCATTCACCTATTTCATAAGTATAGTCCTTCATAATTTTTTTGAAGATTTTATTTATTTATTTGACAGAGAGAGAGACAGCAAGAGCAGAAACACAAGCAGAGAGATTAGGAGAGGGAAAGCAGGCTTCGTGCTGAGCAGGGAGCCCGATGTGGGGCTCGATGACTGGGATCATGACCTGAGCGAAAGGCAAATGCTTAATGACCGAGCCACCCAGGCGCCCCTAGTCCTTTGTAATTTTGACAGCTGATGTTTTCTTTAAAAGCATGTGTTGATAGTAAACCTTTAAGAAAAAGTGATTTTCTTTTTTCCCTCAACATCCTGATTTCTTTGTAGGAAAGCACAGCACTGGCAGAGAAGCAAGATGAAGAGCCACTGGAAGGTAACAGAAACCCTGTGTGCCATGGTCGAAAAGAAAGCTAACCCATTTCCAGGTTACTCATTACTCAGCTGGCTAGGAGCTGAGAGATTCTACTGGAAAATCCCCACGTAGGTCCCGTAAGCTATTTTCTTCAGCAGTTTGTCTGGTCTTGGGAAACTGCTTCTGTGGGAAGCTTGAGTAAAGCCACCTGTTTGGGTCTTTCTGAGGGACTAGGAAATGGGGACATTTCCAAATGGTAAGATAATAAGTTGTTTTTAAGATCCATTTCCTCCATAAATGGAAACGTTGGGATTAATTCTGCTTTATTTAAAAAAATAAGTTATTTATTTATTTATTTATTTGAAACACACACACACACACACACACACACACACACACACTGAGGGCCAACACACAAGCAGGGGGAGCAGCAGAGGGAGAGGGAGAAGCAGTCTCCACACTGAATAGGGAGTCTGATGTGGGGCTCGATCCTAGAACCCTGAGCTGAAGGCAGAGGCTTAACTGACTGGGCCACCCAGGTACCCCTTAATTTTGCTTTAATTTTGATTGCTAAGGGGAGAGGTATGAGGTGATCACTGTGGTCTGGCTTCCTAGCTTCCCTCGGGGTTATTGGCTCCTGGAGGATGTCACAGGCCCTGTCTGTGGTGTCAGGAAGTGCCCCTTGTGGTTCTTCATGTGTATGAACAAAGTGCATCTGCTCAGAGCAGAAGCTGTTTCTGACCATGTCTTCTTCAAGGAAGGGAAGAAAATGTCTGGCTTATTTTACTTAAGTTATGGGAAAGGGAAGTGGAAAAGACAGGCAGAGATAAGACCTTTGTCTACTTCTTATCCCTTCTCCCATCCCCAGGACACCCCCACCAGACCAAACCCACCCACAGCCTTGTGACTTTGTAGTCACAGGTTAGCCGTGTTCAATGTTCAAATGAAATGCAACTGTTGTTCCAATCTTTAAATGCTATGGGGCAGTTTTGGTTTTATTGAGATATGTTTGATTGACACGTGAGCATAAGTCAAATCTCCCTACTTGGGTCAGTCCCACAGACAGTGTAAAGATTAAAGGAAAACCTACAAAGAGTGTGCTTTCTGGGTGCAGACTTCCAGGGTTCAAATCTCGCTTACGAGTGCTGTAATTCCAGACAAACTCATCTCCAGGGCGTCAGTATCCCCCTGTAAAATGGGATGTTAAAATCGACCTCCTAGAAAGTGTGAGGACAATAGCTCTGAAGTGCTTGGAAGTGTTTTAACAGCATCTGGCAGGGAATAGCCCCTTCAGCGGTTAGTGTAAGCTCTTGGGAGAGCTGGAGCAGCTCTGTCCAGGGGAAATGACTTGATATACCAATCCACCCACGTAGACAGTTTTAAATTTTCCAATTTAAATTAAAAAACAAAAGCTAAAAAGAAACAGACAGATGAAATTAATTTCAATACTTATAACCTAACATACCCCAAATATTTCATTAAACATGTAATAAATATAAAAATGAGATTTTTTTTAAAAAATCTTAATAGCAAGTTTTCAAAATGCAGTGTATATTACATCACATCTCCGTGAGGACTAGTCTCATTTTAAGTGCTCAGTAACCACAGGTGATGAGTGTCTGCTGTGGCGGACAGCTTGGTTTCGAGGGCCCACGGGTTTAGGGAAGCTGTAATGAGCTTGTCTTTTGTATGTTTCTTTATCACTAGGGCCAATGTCACTGGGAGGGCCTAGATCATTAGTCTGGGGTTCATAGCTAACCACACTACATCTGTTTTCTAGGCCACATAGACCATACAGTCACGAATGACTCCAGTGAAGAAAGTGGGAAGTGGCTCATGAAGTGTACAAGATGCATTAGAGTTACTTGATGGTCTTGGTTCTAAAATAAATATAGAAGGACGTTAGTCAGCCGGGGTTGCTCTCACAAAATGCCACAGACTGGGTGGCTTGAATAACAAAGTTATTTCTCATAGTTCTGCATACTAAGAAGTCCGAGATTAAGGTGCCAGTTGATTCAGTGCTTGCCTGCTGAGAGCTCTCTTCCTGGCTTGTGGATGGCCACCTTCTCATTATATCTTCACCAGGCAGGGGGAGAGAGAGTGCCCCAGCACTGGTGTCCTTTTTTGTAAGGGCACTAACCCCATCAGACTAGGGCCCAACGCTCAGAGCTCAACGAACCCTAATTATCTCTCAAAGGCCCCATCTCCAAACACCATCATGTTGGAAGTGTTTCAACATATGAATGTGAGGGGGACACAAACATTTAGCCCATAACACGTGTAAATACAAATGGGTATCATGATCCCATGTGAGTATTTGGAAGTAGAGGAATTACGGTCCTGAATGAGCTAAGGCTTGCAAAAATTAGGAATACAAGAGGGCTTCTTTGGTTCTGTTCAGTACAAGGAGAGAAAACAAGAGGTGGCATTAAAAACCTTGGAAACCCGGCAACTTGGGAAGAAGATTTAGGTCTGATGCTTTCACAATAACAACACCTGATCACAGAATTCCAGGTTTTATTTTTTTATTTTTATTTATTTATTTTTTAAAAAGATTTTATTTATTTGACAGACAGAGATCACAAGCAGGTAGAGAGGCAGGCGGGGGGTGGGGGGAAGCAGGCTCCCCACCGAGCAGAGAGCCCGACATGGGGCTCGATCCCAGGACCCTGAGGTCATGATCTGAGCCGAGCGCAGAGGCCCAACCCACTGAGCCACCCAGGTGCCCTGAGTTCCAGGTTTTAAAGAAGGAAGTCCAGGCCTCCCTCTGTTTCTGAATTAGTTGCTTTATATAGTTTGTATCACTCACCTCGGTCTGTTAGTTAAGCAAATAAAGCAGCATGTTTATTGTTGCAAAGCCCCATCCTATGGATTTTTCTGGGCTGCCTGGCTCTGTGTCCCCCTGGGTGCTCATACTAGAAGCTCCGGGCTCCTCCTTGACCCTCCTTTTCTCTTTGGCCCCAATGTGAGTCCATTTCCAAATCCTGTCCACTCCTTTTCCAAACCTCGCTCGATTCCATCCCTCCCCTCCATCTCTTCCACCACGTAGATCCCCTTGAATCTGGTAGTGGTGATTTTCCAGCTTTAATTTCTACTTTCAAATCTTATTGAAAGAAAGCATGCGTTTTAAAAATTCTAACACGAAATGTCTGCAATATTTTCCTGCTCATTTTTTGGGAAACTCTGATTTTTAAGCCATTGCCAATATGTGTTGTGTAAAACTTTTTTGTATTGCCTTCACAGATCCAAACTTTCATGTGAATATTGAGGAATTAAACAAGGAGTTTATGGTGAAAAGTGAGGAGCTCTACGACTCTCTCATGAGTTGCCACTGGCAGCCTTTGGATACAGTTCACTCCGAAATCCCACATGAGCCCCCAGAGAAGCATGATGGTCACTAAGCTTACCCCACTATTCTATTGATTGCCTCCTGTTGTTTTTGCGAAAAAAAAAAAAAAAAAAAAATTCTTCCGGGAAGGTACTGGATGCTATATGTAAATGCAGATTTCTGGGACTTGAATGTGACTGACAAGATAAAATGTGATGTAAATAAACTTTACCAGCACATCCATTTCTGGAAGTGTGTTATATTAAGTAAGTGCCAAAAGACATCCCACAACTATCCTGGTAGACCAAGCTGAACTATAAGACATTTAAAAATAGGTCTAATAGGAAAATGGGCCTGACCTGAACTGGTTGGGACATGAATGGATAGACATATAAAGAGTATGGTATCACATCATCTGGCTTGATGGGAATTAATAGCAGTGATTAATAGTAATTAATTAACTTAATTAAGTTAGCAAGTGAATGATAATGCTTTAAAGTTTGGGGCAGTTTTGGAATTGAAACTCAGTTTGGTGGGGCAATATATATCCTGCCCCATGCAGAAATTGAGAATATTTGATTAAGGTCTAGATTTAGAATAAGAGAAAGAATGAAAGCATCAGCATAAATGTATATGTTGGTAAGTCTCCTGCCCTGTTGCTGGAATAGCCCGCATTGCCTCTGATCTCCTCTGCTTCTTATTAGTCCTACAAAAGGGTAAACATCAGTTTAAGCATGAGAATGTCTTTATATTGTCTATTACCAGATGGGACAAGGGTAACATGGAGGTAGCAAATGCTGGGTTGTGGAGCCCAGAAAGCAAGAATGACCAGCTATCTCTGTTGGAGATCAACGATTCTTCAGAATTTTCAGGTTCGTGATGATAGGGTCAAAGTCAAGTGCGAGCAGAGGACTCCTCTCCTGATAGTAACCAGATTGTGGCAGACTCAGTATGAAAAGCAATGATTGCTGCTAACTGGAACGAGTGACAGCTGCAAAAGGGGTAGGAGCTCTCAATTCTAAATAGGGGAAAATGGACAAAAACACAGATGTTTACACTGTTGACATTGTTTATAAATATTAGGGGCTGGTGTAGTTGGATGCCTCTAGGAAAGTTCTGGGTAATGGTGGTCATCGGTCACTGGCTGGTGTGGCCCCATGAAGGCCTCAGACCTATTCAAGTCCTTCTGTTGAGAGTTAACCGTGACTTAATTCGTTGTGATAACCCTCACTGGGACCCTATGTTGGGTCCTAGATAATCAACTTGGACTTGGCTGTTCTGCTTGTGGTTCTTGTGTCTATGCAGATGAGTACCTAAGAGCAAGGACGGGCAGTGCCACAAGCAGAGAACTAAGAAAACCAAAGATGGAACCTTGTGCTCACCCAGCAATGACCGCTGCTTGGAAAAATGCTTTAATTTCTGGCATAGCTATGTTTTACCAAAGAACAAGAAAACCATTGTGCCAACGGGATGGCTCTCCAGTGTCTGATGAGGCAACTTTAGAATTGTGTGGACCTATGGCTCCTTGCTTCTGATCAAGTAGCCTTCTTGGTGATGGGGGCTGGGGGGATGGGACTCTTTCTTCTGACAGAAGAGGGAGGAAATGCTGCGAGCTGACCATGGTGTGGGCCCATGGTGTTGTCCATTGATTGTTCTAGGGTGTTTTAAGACCTCATGGTGAGCTTCAGTTTTCCCTGAGTGAACTCCATTGGGGTTTAAACAGGAGTCTGCATGCCAACAGGAGTTGTAGAGTCATTGAGATGTGACCTGTCAAGAGGGAGAGGGGACATGGCTGGCATCATTGCTTCCTTTATCCGCTGTACCTTTGGTAAGCAGGCCCCTGCCTCACCAGTCTGCATGTTGTACAGTGGAAATTTACTTTTGTCTTGTCAGCCTATCTTTTCTAAGAAATTTTTTTCTGACTCAAATCTTGGGATTATCCTTCTCCTCTTCCTTCCCCTTCTTCCTCCTCCTTCTCCTCCTCCTCCTTCTTTTAAGGTTTATTTATTTGAGAGAAAGAGAGTAAAAGAGAGAGAGCATGCATGAGTGGTTGGGAAGAGGGAGAAGGAGAGAGAATCTCAAGCAAACTCCACACTGAGCTCAGAGCCCAATGCAGGGCCATCCCCACAACCCTGAGATCATGACCTGACCTGAAACCAAGAGTCAGGTGCTCCTCAATCTTGGATTCTGATGAGGTCTTTCCTATCCTTAATGACCCTTCTTCTTCTTTTTCTTTTTTTTTAAGTTATTAACATATAATGTATTGTTTCAGGGGTATAGGTCTGTGATTCATCAGTCTCACATGATACACAGCACTTCCTACAACATATACCCTCTCCAAAGTCCATCTCTCAGCCACCCTATCCCTCTCATCCCCCTTCCCCTCCAGCACCCCTCAGTTTGTTTCCTGAGATTAAGAGTCTCTCATGATTTGTCTCCCTCTCTGGTTTCATCTTGTTTCATTTTTCCTCTCTTCCCCTATGAATCTCTGCCTGGTTTCATAAATTCTACATATCAGTGAGATCATATGGTAATTGTCTTTCTCTGACTTATTTCGCTTAGCATAATACCCTCTAGTTCTATCCATGTCATTGCAAATGGCAAGATTTCTCTTCTTGATGGCTACATAATATTCCATTATATTTATATACCACATCTTCTTTATCCAGTCATCTGTCAGTAGACATCTGAGCTCTTTCTATAGATGGGCTGTTGTGGACTCTCAATGACTCTTCTTGATCACAGCTAAAGACTGTTCTATCCCTGGGCTCCAACACAGCCTAAGCCAGAGTGATCTCATAACCTAGTTGAACCCATCAAATCTTCATTCAAATTTTTGAAGACACTCAGTCCTCTGATGGTAAAGCTGGGAGAGATGGGGCCCAGGAGCTACTGTAGCAATGTCTCCAATTCCAGGATAAAGCTAATTTACAGAGAGAAGCAGGTAGTCATGCTAATAGGAGAGAGTCAGGTGGTGTGTACTCTCCAGTTTTTTATTTTTGTACCCTTTCCTTTTTAGGAAATCATTCAGTTTCTAATACAATTCCTTTCTTCCTTCACTTTCCCTCATTGCAACCCAAAGTGTCCATATTTAGTCAGGTTCTTAATTTGGCCATCCCACGTGAGCAGGTTAGAAAGACTTGGGTGGTAGTTTCCCTTTTAAGTCTGCTAGTTAACAACCTCCTAGTGCTGCAGGTTCTGTCTCTGCATTTTTCTCAAAGTGAGCTCATCCACTCCCATTCCACTCTATGCGTTCTGGGCAAGAAGCCCACATTTATGTTTTCAGCACAGACATTTCTTTGGAACTCCACATTACGTGTATCTTTATCTTACTGCTTACTTGATTACTCACCTTGTATGTCAAATAGGTGTTCCAAAATTACCAAATTTGTAATGGACTCTTCTTAGTCTTACCACTATTAATAAATGCCACATTCAATCAAGCAACACTTGAGCCCCACGCACTTCCGCTGGAGGGATTTAGACATGGGGGAGGGGAAATGGACAACTTTATGAGTCTACTGCTATTACTGGAGGGTACGTTTTGGGCCTTTGACTGTAGAGAAAGGTAGAGATTGGGGTTGCAGGAGGGCAAAGCACCCCCCCACTCTAGTGAAGATCTGGCCCAGGTGGGGAGGTGGGAGTTGACCCCTGCGGCAGTGGCTGCCCTCACGGGTGCTGGAACAGAACACTTTTGCAGCAGGGTTAAAAAAAAATTATTATTATCTTTGCTGGTGAAACACACATAACGTAAAATTGACTATCCATTTTTTTCTTTTTTTTATTTGTTTATTTGACAGACAGAGATCACAAGTAGGCAGATAGGCAGGCAGATGGAGAGGGGGAAGCAGGCTCCCTGCTGAGCAGAGAGCCGGATGTGGGGCTCAATCCCAGGACCCTGGGATCATGACCTGAGCCGAAAGCAGAGGCTTTAACCCACTGAGGCACCCAGGCCCCCCTGACTATCCATTTTTAAGTGTACAGTTGAGTGGCATTAGATAATTCATACTGATGTGCCGCCATCACCACCATCTCTCTCCAGAACTCTTTTCAATCTGTAAAACTGACACTCTCTATCCAATGAACAATAGCTCCACATTTCCAACTCCTCCTAGTCCCTGGAAACCACCATTCTACTTTCTGTCTCTATTTGCCTCTTCTGGGTATTTCCTAGAAAGGGAATCATATAAGATGTGATCTTTTGTGTCTGGCTATTTCCCTTAACAGAATGCCCTCAAGGTCCATCCCTGTTGTTGCAAATGGCAAGATCTCATTCTTCTTTATGGTTGAGAAATAGTCCATTGTTACATACACACCAGAGTTTGCTTATCTCTTCATCCATCAATGGACACTTGGGTTGTTTCCATGTTTTGTCCATTGCAAATAATGCTGATATGAACGCAGCAGGTCCTGAAGGCAAAGCAGTGTCTGGGGGTTACATTCTGTTACTAGGGCATCTTGTACAAAAAGACCTGAGCTCCAAGTAATAGGGCTTTTGGCCATCAGTGTTCTCAGCTCACTAGCCCATTCCCCAAGGTGCCATCTAGTCATGGAGGACATAGACCACGGCCACCTCAGAAGTCAGTTCCACTGTCTTTCTTCTGGTGACCGATGCTTCCACTAAGAAGTGAGACCGATTTTTACAAAGTTCTTGAAATTTAAGGGGTTTGGTTGTACCTTTCTCCTAGGATAGCAATGCTCTTATTACTTCCATGCATGTTTAATCCTTTAATGATGTTTGGCACAACAAGAAGAATCTGCTTTGCTTTACAGTGACTTTCTATGTGTAAAATAGTTGGGCCCTCCTCTCATGAAGATAGGGAAAGGCACCTAGTTTTATCTCCTTCTTTGGGGCAACCCACGAAATCATAAGGACTTTGATTAAATGGGTTAGATTGGTAGTTAAACACTGGGGAACAGCCATTGGTGACGAGGTGCCAAGACTGAACTTTCTTCCAATGTCATCTGCCTTCAGAGCGACCTGAGGATATTCTTACTGCAAGTTCACGGATAGGCCACAGGTCTGCAATGGGTTCTAGGCAAGATCTATGATGAAAATAGGGCATGTATTCC